AAAAAGTCGCGCCAGAGGTAAGAAAGTGTGCGCCAGAATGAAAAAAGGATGCATCCCCAATATGATGCTGCACGCACACGTGTGTGGCACTTACAGGGCTCCGTTGGCTCTGCCTTCTACTAAATGGGAGGCAGTAGTCACCAATAAGAACTCCATTATCGCTCATTAGCCTGTAGACCAATTTTCAACGGAGATAATTTTTTTAATTGAGCGCCATTAGTAGTAAAGTAAAAACCCGCGTATAAGAACCTAGTGATTTAAGAACCTACAGGCTGAAATTTTGCATTTTAATACCCAAATATAAAAGAACCTATTCAGCCTGACAAAGAAAAATAGGTTCTTATATAAAAAAAAACACTCCAGATTTGATGTTCAAATTCTGGATTTTAGTTGTGAAAATTTTTGTAGTGTACTGCTTTTTAGTCTTACCAAAAATATTATTCATTCCATAAAACTTTGTTGTAGTTACAAATAGTCTCAAATAGTGTACAGTACATTTAAAAATCAAAACAGTTTTTTTAAATACAGAATATAAAAAAATACAGGACTTTTCTCTTGGACCTTGATTCTGTAAGTGCCCTGTAAATATGGTCAGGCCCATGATACAGGGCCTGTTTCGACAACAAGGCTTGACATTTTTGTAAATGCTTTACAATTATAGCGGCCTAGTACTATTGCAGTTCCCCGAATGCTATCACTATAATAACCTGATCACTTTAGAACCTGATCAGCCTGTTATTAGAAAAAATACCCCAAAATATAAGAAACTGTTCAACCTGAACTCAAAATTCTAGGTTCTTACACGCGGGTTTTTACTGTAATGCATTCCACTGCCGTTTCTTCTTGTGATCTGCGGCATAATAAAGTTAATAAAACCGCCTTGTCAACCACGTCAGATGCAAAGCTTTCATGAATTTCATGAAGGCTCGTCCTTAGTCCTATGTTTGTAAACAAGTTCAATTTCATAAATGGAGTTTACATATTAAGAAAGAAATAGAAATTTGCAAATATTATAAAGATACTGAAATCTGGTAACGCTATTGTTAGGACATTCTGTGTTTAATTTCACGGTGCTGCCACGTCTGCAGTGGTCAGCGGCTATTCAAATTCCAAAATGGCGGACATGGTGAGTGGCTTATAGTACTACTTGTTCCATTAATATTTGCTCGCTGTTTTGTGGATTCATTTGTTCTTCTCTCTCACTGATATACCTCTGAATATTTCCAGGATCACTTAGACGCCACTGAGGATGTGGCATTAAATTTTGGAGACGAGGATGAGATTTTAAATAGAAAAAAGAAATTCAGGTTTGTTGATATGAGCCCACGTTTACTTTTTACATTTAATTCTACGAGTTAGGAGATTGAACCCGAAAATATTGTCAAAGGAAGATTTAGGAACGTTTCCCTTTATTTGAATCCAATCAGTCTTTTACGAGCTAAATACAAGCCAGAAAAACCGTGTTCAATTAATGCGAGTCTTGGAAACCACGGTGCAGCCTCACCTGTCCCATTAACTCTTTACACCCTAACATCAGGATGCACATTCTCCTTGATCTTCCCCATACATTTCATCTGGTACTGACATGGAGAATTTGCTTAACAATTGAAAGTTGGTGGTTGGTGATCATTTCCTTTTATTCTCATGATCTTAATGAAGGATTCAGCAGTATTACAGTAAGGAGAAATTAGACAAGGGTCACTCTTAAGGTTTAAAGGGTTAACTCTCTAACTCCCAAAATCTGATTAGTGATTTTCTCTTCTAACTTCTGAAAATTTTCTTGTAACAAGTAAGGAGAGTCTGGAGCAAGATTTCTGTACAACCCTATACTTCATTAAGTATGCAAGCAGTTCCTTGATGAAGGAAAAGGGCAGCAAAAACAATAGATTACCTGGTGTTATATCAAGTTAATATTCTTTGGGTGATAAGTTTTTTCTCCTTTTTACAAGTATTTGACTAATCTTTTACTGTTTAAACATGAATCTTAATATTGTTTTTAATATTTTGTATCCTGTTCAGAAAACCTTTGGTTACCATCTTCCATCTTCTATTTCGAGTGGCAGCAATCATTGCTTACCTTCTGTGTGGTTGGTTCAGTGATAGTTTCATAACAAACTTTGTTATCATAGTTCTGCTTTTATCATTTGACTTCTGGACTGTCAAGAATGTCACAGGACGGTTATTAGTGGGACTTAGATGGTGGAACTACGTGGATGAGGATGGGAACAGCCATTGGGTGTTTGAGTCCAGAAAGGTTTTGTATGGTTTAGCCCTTTAACTCCCAAGATCTGATTGAAAATTGTCTCCTCTAGCTATTAGGTTAGGGGTTCGTTATAAATTAGTGACAAGGATTTGGTTGTAGATCAAGATAACAACTTCTACATGATAAATGTGAGTATTCTCACAACCTGTATGCTGGTTGCTGTATGCTATAGGGAGAAGTGACATGTTAATCACCTCTGGGAGTTAAAGGGTATAAATTCAGTGTAGATGCTTGGTAAACATAATAGGCTGCACAGAACAGTTTGATGCAGTAAACATGTGAAGAAATAAGTTATAAACACAATCAGCAAAGTTACTAGTTGATCCAGTTATACAATTGATTTATCACAATTGAAATTTGAAAAGCGGGAACATCTGAGACATCCTATGGACAAAAGATCTAATGAACAGGGGATAAATACCATTATGCACATGATTATGAGAGGAACAAAACAAAAAATATATTGTTATAAAGGATTTGGTTTTTAGGTCACTTTGATTTTGCTCATTAACCCTTCAACTCCCACAAGTGACCAAGATAGAATTTCTCTTTACAATATCAATACAACATCAAGTAGAAGAGTAACGAGGATAAAGAAAAATATCAATTATGGGATTTCTGGTTGATCAAATTCCAAATTCCCAAAACTAACTTACAAGATTTGTATGGCAGACAGTAAGGAGAATCTCTGATAAGATCTTGGGATTGAAAGGGTCAAGGTTACTTTGTTTCTGTCTTTCAATAGGGTCACTTTATCCTTTTTTCATTTTCATCAACGTAAGAATTAAATGTAAATCTTGTGTGTCAGTTACCATTTCTTTTTCAATTATTAAATGTAGAGTGACAAGCAGGTGACCACTGCTGAATCACGTGTCTTCTGGCTTGGTTTGGTCATTTGTCCCATTATTTGGACATTCTTTCTAGTGGCTGCACTGTTTTCACTGAAATTTAAGTGGCTGGTGAGCAGACTGTTGATGTCTTGTAGACAATACTGATATTTAGATACTATATTGGGCTATAAACCTTAGTTTACACCAATTTGGGAGAATTTAGAATGGAAAGGTTGGATGCCAAACTTAAAGCTATGCTACTTGTGCTGGTATGTAGCTGAACAAGTACAGCAGCAAAAGTTATGGCAGGACTAGAGATTGCAACTGATACAGGCACCCATTTGAGTAATATTTTCTTCCTGGTGACTCAAAATTCTGGTCTAGTTGCCAACTTGGCAAGTAGATTTTTGCATGTTTTAGGAGTCAAGTTCAAAAGTACATCTAGTGCATGATTTACAAACTTTCCCCATGTTCTTTCAACATCCTGTGTGGGTTATTACATTGGTGAACCACTGACACACCATTTTGTTATGATTCCATAACTATCAGGAAAAGTAACACACTGTGATTCCTTCCTCAGCTTGTTGTTGCAGTTGGGCTCTCTCTAAATGTTGCAAACCTGATTGGTTATGTGCGCTGTAAGAAAGATGCTGGAAAGAACATCAAGAGTTTTGCAGGAAATTTCCTAGGAAGACAGCTCCTTAATCAGGTAATTTTTTGACTTGTACAGTTTGGAATGTAATGATCTAGACATCTGAAGTAAAAAAAAAAATCTGAGTTTTATGTAGCCATCTGCTCCTTTTGGATGAACATTAAGTGCCAATAAATTAATAAAAGACTATAAATTATGGATTAAAGGAATTTATCAGTCTCTGTTAAAGTGGTAATTAGTAAATAGAGATTTGTTGAAAAAAACGAATTCATAAAAAACGGAAGATAATTTGTTACTGTACATATTGTCAGACAGCTTGAGAATTTTTTTAACACAATTACAAGCATTAAAACCAAGTTGGAACTTGAAATTTGACATGTTGGCTTTTTGTGTATTAAAAAAAAGAGAGTGGGAGGGAGGGACAAAAGAAAAACTCTTTGTACAAAACATTCACTTGCTCTAACACTGCCTGTGCCTTCCATTGATGACTATAAGATTGCAAAACTAATTGGTCCTTAAAGTAATAAATTAACTGAGGGTAAGATATAAAAATTACTGTGTAGAATGAAGAGGAACACTTAGTTAGCCTTAGGAGAAATCTTGAACTGTATGACAATAATGATAATTATTGATCCTTTTGATTCCTGTTTTCTTCAACTTTCTCAATTCTTTGTGGCATGGCTGTCTCTCATCTACCAGGTACAGGTAAACCCTCCTCGTAATCGACTTCCTGGAAGATTTCTCATACAAAATTCTGCTAGTCCTGTTCCTCGACTATTGTAAGTCTTCTCATTTCTTCTTGTTTCCCTCAGGGTCTTTTATTCTGTTTAGTATCTGTATTTGCTGTTGTCATCTGGCTCTATCAGTCACAATCTGTTGCCAATTGCAATCAAATTATCAAAGCAGGAAAGTAAACAAACACAAGGTCTTAACTGCATTGGGGTTTGAAACATTGTTAAGCTCTCCTCCCCATCCTGTCCAAAGCTACATCCATTAACTAACTTTGTTTTTATTACAAACATGGTTAATTCCATTTGAATGCGTGGATTTGAATAAATATTAATTTAAACTAAAGTTCTAAAAATAGGGATGTATGTATGATACAAGGCAAAAAAAAATTTTCACAAGGCAGGGTTGGTATTAGGAAAAAAAATCTAAACAGTTAAAAGTAAATAGCAATGTAAAAAGTTGTTATTAAACTTAGACTTTGCGTGAATGATCTTCACATACAATGGAATATACATTCTGTACCTTGTTAAATCTTTCATTTTAAAAAATGTCTATTAATTCTGCTGTCTCCTTCTTCCATGGTTTTCTGTTGTGTATATTAAGTTTTGTTTACCACCAGCTTTAACTGGACTTGAAATCCAACTGAAGGAAGGGTGGTAAATTTAGTAGGATGTGGAACTTGTAATGCACTGGTTACTGGTTCAATCGCTACTCCTTGCGATGGATCTGCTCCACAATGCTGCAAGTGAAGTCCTTGGCTCTGCTCTGCAAAAAGCTAATTGTCTCCCTTCTGTCAATTGGGAATTTAAAACTTTTATTCTTTTTTTCCTTTTAATGTTTGATTTCTGTTTGTTTCCATAAACCCTGAAAATCCTTATTGGTGGAGTAGGGAAACAAGGAGTATCTTTCTTTTGTTGAATGCTGACAATAGCAGTTTGTTAAGAACTTGCACAACCTTTTTTCTTTCTTTCTTTTGT